ACAGTTTTTTTTTATAAAACCGGAAGCCGCTTAAGAGATGAACTAGCCTATTGTTGGCTATTTTACAGTTTTTCACAAAACCGGAAGCCGCCATCTTGGATTCCAAAATGCCAAGAATCATCGATTTCCGGCCTCTGGATGTCGTCTCGGTTCCGAAAATATCCATATCGTTGGCTATTTGACAGCTTTTCACAAAACTGGAAGCCTCCATCTTGAATTCCAAAATGGCATGAATCATCGATTTCCGGCCTCTACGCGTCGTTCCCGTTCCGAAAATATCCATATTGTTGGCTACTTGACAGTTTTTCACAAAACCGGAAGCCGCCATCTTGAATTCCAAAATAACGTGAATCATCGATTTCCGGCCTCTATACGTCGTTCCCGTTCCGAAAATATGTATGCACCCATGTTGTCCGGTGAATCCACTCGAAGTACACTTCCAAGTTTGTTTTTTTGGCTAAGTCCATTCCTCAGAAAACACTTAGAATGTTTTGGCTCTTTAACCGCGTTATTTCAAAAAACCGTGTAAAAAAAACCGCGTTGTTTCAAAAAACCGTGTAAAAAAAACCGCGTTATTTCGAAAATCGTCGTAAAAAAAACCGTGTAAAAAAAAACCGTGTAAAAAAAACCGTGTAAAAAAAGACTTCAGTGTATTCTGCAACAAAGCAGGCAAGACTAAAATAATAATCAGTCGAACTTCAACTCCGATTTTCTCAAAATGGTGGATATTTTACATTGGTCTATTTGAAAAGTGAGTCTGCTCGGGCTTGCCAACTGCCAAGACAATACGTCACCTGATGCAGCCGCTCACAAAACCAAACTCGTCGATCCTACAAGTGATGCCTGATATGGATTCACTAAACCAAAAGCAACCCAACCCAATATTACTAACAGTGTTGGCAAAATCAGAAATCAATTGATATTATTCCGCTCTCATGCGCTCGCACTATCACGCGTGATATTGGAACAAAATATCATGCTTGATATTGATTTTACAAGCTCCTTTGATATTGCGAGACTATTCACAACGTGCAAAAATTAAGCTGAGAGTTGAGTTTGACACACAAAATGATTCCATTGCCCATCGTTTCCTTAGAAAGAGAAAGCATAGTTTGCTAATCTCTTTTTAATCTTCACCGTTATGGAAGTTTCGGTTGCATTCGGGTGTAAAGTGGACCCTACACGATTACTTTTATTGACAATAATCGTATTGTCAATACATTCTTTATTGACGTCAATATATCGAGATTGACAATATTTCTGAATTCACATCATCAATATTATTGTCAATAATTCCCCTTCGCGTCAATATATTGATGCGTGTGGGGTTTGCTTAAAGCAAAAATCATTAAACTCAATCTCACCACAGTTTGGTGAGATTTGCAGTTGGTGAGTTTTGTTAGCTTGATATTCCGAGCTGCGATATCACAGCTTGCAAAATCATCCGCAGTTGCTTGTTGATTTTTGTCTAAGAAAATCAAGCGTGATCTTGGGCGTTGGTGAGATTTGATTTTTTGATATTTTCTCAACACTGATTACTAAAGGGTGATACGGTCAAAATTTGGTCAAGGGAAAACGCGTGTAAATCGGTGAAATCGTTTATTTAAAAAATCAAATTAAATTTCTTTTTCAAGTTCAATTAGTATAAAATTCAGGAAAAATATTCAGTTAGGCTTCCGCTTTTCCAAATCCGAATTGCCGGGCCTTACGCTTGACCCCTGCCATCAGATTTTGTACAGCCACCTTGTCCACCTTCTTCGCCGCAGAAAGCCAGTTTGCCTTGAACTGCTGCTCGCTTTTAGCAGATTTTTTGGTCTTCTTTAGGTTCCGCTTGACAATAGCCCAGTATTTCTCAATTGGGCGGAGCTCTGGCGTGTTGGGAGGGTTCTTGTCCTTGGGAACCACCTGCACGTTTGTTGGCGGCGTACCACTCCATGGCCTTTTTACCGTAATGGCAAGATGCCAAATCCGGCCAAAACAGTACGGAACAACCGTGTTTCTTCAGGAAAGGCAGCAGACGTTTATTCAAACACTCTTTCACGTAAATTTCTTGGTTGACAGTCCCGGAAGCTATGAAAATGCTGCTTTTCAAGCCACAGGTACAGATGGCTTGCCAAACCAGATATTTCTTTGCGAACTTTGACAGTTTCATGTGCTTGAAAACATCTGCTACCTTTCCCCTTCCTTTTGCCGTATAAAACTCCTGTCCCGGAAGCTGCTTGTAGTCGGCTTTGACGTAGGTTTCGTCGTCCATTACCACGCAGTCAAACTTCGTCAGCATCGTCGTGTACAGCCTCCGGGATCGCGCTTTGGCCGTCGTATTTTGTTTATCATCGCGATTTGGAGTCACTACCTTCTTGTAAGTCGATAGTCCGGCTCGTTTTTTGGCTCGATGCACGGTTGTAGACGATACACCCAGCTTATTTGCGGCATCTCGGAGAGAGAGGTTAGGGTTTCGCTTGAAACTACCGGCAACTCTCTTTGTCGTCTCAGCGGCTTCCGGTTTTTGATTTCCCCCCGATCCAGACTTCCTGGCTGTCGACAAACGTTCCCCAAACACTTTAATTACATTTGTAACGGTTGATTTGGCAACTTTTAGCGATTTTGCCAACTTTGCGTGCGAGTAGCTCGGATTTTCGCGATGCGCGAGCAAAATTTTGATACGCTGCTCTTCTTGCTTGGACGGCATTTTGACAACTGAAGAGTGAATTCCAAAATCAATATAGGAGCAACATTCTACACACACACACCTTCAAAATGAGGGGTGTTCAGGTTTTTTAAATGCAAAATTGAAAGAAATACGTCAAGTTGATATTGACCAAATTTTGACCGTATCAGCCTTTAATACACACAACAACGTCAATATGGGTGCAATCATGGAGCTTTTCTTCGGAGAACTGTTACTCGAAACATATAGATCGAAAGAACCGTGAAATACATTCGAACATGGCCAAAAACTACCATCATTTAAATAAATGTACGTACAAACCACTACATCTCGAAAACGATACGACTAAGAAAAATTTTATATTGATGCTTTTTTATTTTAAATTTGGTGTAAATTGAAAGTATATATCAAGTCTAACCATGTTTTGGAATTTTTTGGACTTGAGTTTTTTTTTTTTCAAAAATCATAACTTTTTTCTTCATCATTTACCCATCTTGACCTATTTCATATGTACATATGTATGTACCTACAACGTTTTACTGTTCATTACTAAGCTACGGGAGCAGCTTTGTTGAAGCCAGCTGTTTTCAAGATGGTTAGGATATACTGATGAGAGAAAATTCCGAAATGCTGTGAACAGAGAATTCGGAAGGTCTTTACCTCCAGAAGAACTTTATCATGAACGAATATATTCTAGGTGATCATGGCTTACAAGTACCGAACAAAATTTCATGCACAATGCCCAATTTTTTGTTATGATGAATCTTGAAATAACACGGGTTTATCACACGGTTTTGTGAAACATGGTATTTTGGAATAACGCGGTTTTTTTTTCACTGTACGAATCCCCCGTGTAAAAAGACTTGAGTGTACACAACACCAACAGTACGTTCTTCATATGAAATTACGAACTTTCGTACAAGTTACGCAAAAAGAGAATTGCAGTGTCCACTAGACTGATGCAATATTTAAAATTTTTGCTCCACAGTGCTCAAACGGTTCCAAATTGGGCCCTGATTAGCTTCCCAAAATTTGAACTCATTTAGTAAAAAACTGACTTGGCACAAACCATTTGAAGTTTGTATGGTAATTACTTTGAAGAAACCATTATTTTGGTTCATATCTATCTCAAAATTCACCAGTTCACTTTACTTTATAAAATGATAGCTGAGCTTATTGAAAATTCTTTCAGCTACAACTTTGTTTAAGACTAATTTTCGATCAAATGTAAGGAACAAAAGTTATTAATGATTCAAGTCACTGATGTCTTATGATTATGCTCAATCAACTGTTCAGCAGGCAACATTGGTGTTTATGGCGCGCAGAATAGAGGACAAAAATCATGGCTACTATGTCACACTGCTGAATACAGTGTTGTCTACAATACAGTTGCTTAATCTTGCCATAAGATTATCAATATCTTAAACAATTAATAACTATTTAATTTGACGTTAGGCTGAAAAAAAAAATTCTGCAAAGTTGTAGCTGATAAAAATTCCCATAAGAAAAGCAATGGAATTTGTTAACAGTACAATATGTACAAAGGCTAAAAGACAATGAACAAAAAGTTTTGTTTTCTCATGGTAATTTCCATATAAACTTCAAATGGTTTGTGCCTAGTCAGTTTCTTATCAAATGAGTTTAAACTTTCGGAGGCTAATCAGAACCTGATTTGAAACCGTTTGAACACAGTGGAGCGAAAATTTCAAATTTTGCATCAGTCTAGTGTGCACTGTAGACGAATCTCCAGGTTTTGGATTGAAAAATTAATTTTAGAGTGCAACTAGGCACCAATTAATAACGTAACGCTTATAGGGGGAAGGGGATCACCTCATGAATTGTTACTTAAGGAAGCGGGAGTAACGCTTACGTAATAAAGATAATGTAAATTAAAATAATGATTTTTTTAGTTTTTTGTTTTATTTAAAGTTTGGAAATGCAGGCTAAAACTGTCATCATGAAATCTTTCAAACAAAATGGATGTTTTTTAATTTAAAATCTTGAATGCTTTCGTTAAACTTTTGAAAAGTATATGCTCTCATAAATGAGAGGGGTTTACTTTCCACGTTAATTTATGTTACAAAGGGGGAGAAGGGATCGAAAATTTAAATTTTTAGCATTACGTAATTAATGAACGCCGCCTAAACCCTTTCGGTACACCTCGGTATTCAACCAAAAGGCTCGCGTATTCCGCAAACGTAAAAATTCGAACGGCACCGGTTTGGTGGGAATTCGAAACTCAGCAAACCATATGGCTTTGTTCCTGAAGTGATTGGTGCATTTAATTCCTCCGCAAAAAAATCACTGACTGTTCCCTCTCTTCCCACCACAGATCCGTTGCACGGCCCGGATCCATGACATCTACCTTCAATCGACGGAGAAGACCATCTCCGAGGAACGACCGCATGTCATTTCGGCGGCTTCGTCCTCGTCCAACAGCAACGCCAACAGCGTCAACCTGATAAATAACAACCCCTACGATCAGTTCTCCCAGCTGGACAACGAGCTGGACCGGAAGGACTACATGACGCACTTGCAGGGTAAGTCACTCCCTCCGTCTCACTTCGACGGCGTATCGAGTCAATTAATCATTTCGTTTGCTCTTCCATTCCACCGCATTTCCCAGGAGACATGTCGTCCTCGGCGTCGGGCAGTGCGCCCTCGGTGACGAGATCGGTGCCATCAATCAGCTCAACTCGGTTCCTGGGGGCGGCGGAGGCAACAGGGCTGCTAATAGTTTTTCACCATTTGCTCAAATTCGGCACGATTTCCATAACATGATTCCGTGACGTGCATTAGTGATGTGATTTCGGGTTTAACTTTCTTCTGTTTGATTTTTTCCTTGCCCCTTAGTTCTACCAACTGTTCGTGAATGGAAGGAGCATCTTTTTTTTCGGTTGGGTTTTATTGCTCTTAATACAAGTCAGTGTGTCTCGAAGTGTGCATGGGAGGAGAAACAAGAAAAAAAAAGAGAAAGAAAAGAGATGGGGGAAGCTTCACCCACTTGTAGTATGCCTTGGAAAATGCTGCGTTGCCTGGCAGCAGTCGGACGAACGTGGGTCGTCGAGTCGGAACTTTTCGTGCTGGTGGTCGGTTGGTGATGAAGGTGACGGAAGATAAGCAGCTGCACGGGATGAAAGCGCGCGTGATGAAGGTGTTAATGATAGCGACGACGCTGATTAATGGTTGTTTTGGCGAGTGCGTGGGAAGTGTGAGTGTGTGTGAGTGTGTTTGTGTATGAGAGAGCGGAATTTCGGGGTACAACTTTAAGATTTAGCTGAAGGTGAAGTTGTTGCAGGACGAAAACAAAAACAAACCCCACTTGCAACTAGGGTGGGAGAAGAAAATTGTGTGAGAAAGATATTAGTAGAATAATTCTAGCGGAAACTGTTGTGCATACTTATCGTCGAAGCAATTAATAGAAGAAAGGTGTAAATTTCAAAGAATACTTTACTGTTTAGTATAGGAGAAGGCAATTTGTGCTGTTCTGTTGATCACAAGAAATTTCATATTTGTTTACGTTCCTACTTTGAAATCACTGAATTTTCGTCGCCTAAAGACTGTACTCGAAAAAAAAAATAAAACAGGGAAAAATGATCACTAAACATTCATTTTAAGATGGATTTTTTTGAAAACTATCAGGTTAGAAATAAACACATATTAACTATGTTTTTGCAAAGTTGGTTTATTCAATCCCCTCTCTCAGACTAAATGCCAGCACCTTGGACTTAATGCTACCCATCAAATCCTGTGCAACACTTGGGCCCTATTTCTTTCACACTTTCATCCACTCTTTCTTCAAATTATCGCCCAGAATTTTTCTATTGGGCGAAGTTCTAGTGAGGATGCGAAGTTCTGTTTTCTTCGGCAGATGTGAGAAGCCGGCTGTAGACTGATCTTTCGAACAACTTGGATAACCCTGAGAGGAGGCTGATGGGTCGGTAACTTGAAGGAGAGGAAGGATCCTTCCCAGGTTTCCGAACGGGTATGACTTTAGCTGACTTCCATCCTGAGGGGAAGTAGCCAAGTTGGTGGCATTGACTGAAAATCAGTGCCAGATTCAAGGGGTAAGGCCGCTTTTGATCATGAGTTAAATCGGAGTAAATATCGAGTAACTCTGAGTTGCTCTGACTAACTCGCGTTGATCAACATCAAATACGCATAGCAACCTGATTTTTGTGTTTAAATCTGTCATCATCGGTGAGCTGAAGCCGATTGATATATTTTTCCAGAATAATTTCATAAGCAACTGAAAACTGGTTCTGATGTTCCATCTTGCATCTTGCGGATGAGCTACTTGTAATGCTGAACTTGCTGGATTGTAAAATTATGTCTAAAAAATCGGTGTTACAGAATGCACGGATTGTAACGATGATTCAGGACGACCACCAGGCCTGAGTTAACGGATACCATCACTGACCGGGTGAATCGATTGACAGACAAAATTGTAGCTGTTTTAAGATTGTGGTTTGTGGCACCGTTTGTTTCTGCTTCTCCCAGTATTTAGCGCTTTGCTGAACTTCCATGAGTAGCATGAGCATGGCGTCCACCAAGAAAAATCTCCAGCTTACAAAAATGACATTGCCCGGAACTATTGTTCAAGCTAACAGGGAAAGTTTAGTACTGAGTTTTCCTGGAATTCTCTAGAATTCCTTTTTGGAATTCACTGCGTTAAACCTCAAAAGCGAATACCCAACAAACATTGATAGCTGAATAAGTGGTTATTTATGCAAAAAATAGCTTATTTAGCTTTAAGTCAACTCAAATTGTTAGATGGGTAGTGTCCATATGTCAACATCGTCGGCTCATAAACTGCTATTCATCACATCAATTGTCATTTAACTTCCTTCCTTTGACAACAGAAGGAGCATCCAAAAGCACGATGAACATAGCTACGAAGGTTATATGCAGGAGGAACAGAAACGTAAGCAAGGCCTCGGTGCAACAAATCTATGAGCTATCTTCATCAACAAAATCGGAAGTCTGATTAAGACCGCTTAAGATGGAAACAATGGCGTTGCGAATTACTCGGAAAAAATACGACCATGTGCTACAACAACAGCAGTCACCGAGAAGAATCAAAACCTCTCTGAGCGATGACTTCAAGTTCCAGGTGTTCGAAAGACTATTGATCAATTTAGATGGCCAAGTTTTGAACCCACCACAGCATGCTTTTGGCGCTACTGTATATGGACGATCAAATGTAAAATACTGTGGTAGCCACAGCACGGTTCTGTCAAAACCTCAGCATTTTCATTGATCCATTATCGATGAAATGTTCGTCACTTTCGAAAAACTGCCAACACAATCCGTCCGAATAGATTCCCTAGTTGGAGGAGCGCTACAATGGGATATCGTCAATCATAGCCTGAGTGGAAACTCATTCTTGATGGCGTCGGTTTCGTTCTTTTAATGCTCGTGACTAGTTTCGGAACCGCATACCACCCAACTGATCAGTTTTACGATAAAATAAAATTCCTTCCTACTTATCCCTTTCTAGATATAAGGAACTTTTTTGCCGTATACATCTTCCTGTTGTATCAACCAGGCCTTTGGTATAAGATTTCGGTAGATATATTTAGGCTTTTATGTTCTGGTTGTGCACCCAGACCGAAACTAATACACCAGCTGAGGTTCACGAGTCGAGGGTAGTCTAGATTACTTCGTCTCCTCCTGGAAAAATAAGCATTAGCTACGATGAATCCTTTATCTTCATTAGAATCAAATTCCTGATTACGAGTGGTATCTTGACAACTAATGCGAATTGATGTCCTAGCACCGATCAATCTGTTATCAGATACCATGAGCCGTCCTGCAAGTGATCTCATACTGAATTTAACAAATGCATGATTTCAACTAACAGCGAACTCGTTTACTATCGGGGTTAGCACCAGTTCCAACCTAGTGCGAAACCGAACTTTTTGTCAGTGTGAACCTCAACCTGAGCTAGGTTTTAAAAGCAAACGAACAAACTGACGTTTGTCAGAAAACAAGCAGACCCAAGCTTGATACCCGATGCAGGTTGGAACAGAATAATAACCGAATTCGCTGTTAACATAAATAAAATCTCGGGAAGGTAGATGACGTCTGGTTTGACTTTTCATTGAAGGTTTGTATATGTTCAACAAAGCGAGACTACTTTGATCAATTTTGAATAATTATGAGTTGTTCAAATTTACTCGCTACGAAACTATTTGCTCTGAGTACAGCTGACTTGCCCCTTGACCAGATGGTTCAAGAATCCGGAACTCAAATGTTTGAGTTCCAGATTGAGGATGCTGTCGAAACCTTCTATCGGAATCATTGAAAATAATATTGATGGTGTGAATACTGAAATATTTTCAATATCAATGTATTCAATATACAATGTATTGACAATACGATGATTGTCAATAAAAGCAACCACTAAAGGCCAGCAATTTGTCAGCTGTGATATTGGATTCCTCAGGAAAGATGTTTGGAATTTTATGGAGGTTGGCTGCACTTTTCCTTTTATACATTTTGAATGTCAATACATTGTGTTTGCCAAATTGGACCTTTTTTTTCTTGTTCGCATTTCAAGCTTATTGCTTGGCGCATATTAGCTTATTGCGTGCTCTCAACTTAGTGTTCTATAAATGCACTTCCACAGTTATTAATTGAGAGCTTTTAATGCCAATACCAATGCATGAATTTGTATATTGTGTGGCAAGCACAATGCTACTCTATGTCCAGGGAAGTCAAGAAAATTTCCAACCCGAAAGGATTCCCTCGACCGGACCGGGAATCGAACCCACCGCCTCCGGCTTGGTAATACCGTGCCTTTACTGACTAGGCTATGAGGCCCCATCTATTGGACCGTCCTGCATTAGTCATGAGGATATCTACCGAGCGCAAAAGTTATGTGACATCTACCGAAACCTTAAAGCAAGGAGCTGACTACCATCATTGATGCGACTGAAAGACGTATGCAGGGATAAAGTTCCTTCTAGGAAAAGGGTAAAATAGGAAGGAATTTGGTTTTATAGAAGAAAAACCCCGCTAAGCCACACCTTTGAGCGGTTCCTTTTGCTCCAACTCCACCTGTCTTCGCAGACATTTTATACGGAACAAAGATTCACTCAAACAAACTTAAACGATCTGGAAACCTGACCCGTTTTCATTGAATCAAAAAATAAACAAACAGGGGTGCCAAGCGTTGTGCCGATCGTTCCGAAGTAGGCTGAAGTGTATCAATCAAGATGTCAATATCCCATGAGTTTGGTAACCCTGAAGTTAGACTGTTGTGATTGTTGAATTTCTCTAATTCATGGTCATGGTTCATTAAGCTTCATTCTCATTAGAACGAGAGTGGAGTGGGCGGTGGATGACGAAATCTTAGAAATCCAAACTATGCGACCCGCTCACAAGAAATGTGTGTTGGAAACGAAGGTGTAGCCTGGTTGGTGATGGACGAAATTTTTACCAGCTGCCAGTAAAATTCTCCCCGATAAAATCAAACTCAGAACTAGAACGGGCAAAAGCTCAATCTCACCCTAGAAACAACAACCTCGAAACAGTTCTGATCGACTCGGAAGTACGTGAACTCGAAGACATCGCATCACTGATTATGATGTCTCCTACAAATACCCAATTACGTTCAAGCCTACCAAGTTCACGATCCTTTGCAGTTGGGATACCTTTACTAATGTACCACCAGTGGCCAATGTACCACCAGTGAAAACCATCAAATTTCCCCCACTTCATATATATCACACTTCAAAACCGCTAACCCTACCGAAACCTCCTCTGCCACGATTCAAATTTTCGAGATTGAGTAAAGCCTTATAATTGACTGATTGGTAGGCAACCCTTTTAGTGCAGCAGAAAAGTATATATTGGTGATGGGGTTATGATGGGGTGTACTCACGGAATATAATGTAATTGCATTTCTGACTGTTATACTGTTTCGCTAAGCCAATCGTACATGGGTCCAGATCTGATGGAATATTTGGGGTTAATACGTATTGACATCCCCCAGCAGTACTGAGACTTGTATGGACATCCATATAAAGTCCTGTAGATTTCCCATCCAAGTCCATACCAATCGAAACCAATGGCTGGCAATGATACCTTGTAAAAAGTGAAAGAGGCATATTAATATTAAAGCGATGAAGAAAAAAAAATTAGCCGTCCTGTTTTCCATGGGCTTCAGGTAACTCTTCCCAAAACTGTTTTTTTCCTTCCTCTACCAATGGCAAAACAGTATTCAGCAATGCAGCTTTTCTGTCCAGGTCAATTCCTCTGGGTTGACTTTTCTTATCAAATGTTCCTCCAGGTTGAAGTGCTCCACTTTTCCTGCTTGGCTGTTAAAATCTTACAGCTTTTCAAATCGTCATCGTTCACAAAGCTGCTATAATCAAGACTTACCTTACCTTACCAATCAGGCCAAGGCCTTGTTGTCCTCTGCTGTCCGAAGAAGTCGTCTCCACTC